TCTCACTCCTCTCTTCTCCGGCTGCGATTGCTGTTGTGCAGATTTTTTTTTCCCTTTCTTAAATATGTTTGTTATCCCAGAGGCGCTACCACCGTTGCTGATGGGCTCGGCCTTGGCCAGCGGTGGGTCCATCTTGGAGCCGGGTGGTGTTGGCTCTGTCAGACATGGGGGAAGCTTCCAGCAGCTTCTCACAGAAATCACCCCTGTAGCCCCCCGGCTACCAAAGCCTTGCCACACAAACCCAATACAATAATAATCCTTCTCCCTGGGCTGAGCAACTGTTTCAGCCTAGAGTGAACTTCTGCTTGGACAAGAAAAGGGTGTCCTGGAGCTGAGGGGTTTTCAGCAAAAGCAGGTCTATGTATCTGCAGAGATCTCTTCCAGACATTCATTTCTGCCCCAGAATTGTCCTTGCTGGGTTATGCCAAACATTTTAATTTCCAGCTCTGAGCGGTTGCAAGCAGAGCCCAGCCAGCCTTGTTAGCTGTGTCCTCTCTGACCACAAGGTGTAGAGCTTCACCCAGCCCATCAGGAGCTACCTCTGATGCAATGATCTCTTCTGGAGGGAGAGGACCACTTCCCATGTGTCAGAAGGGCACCCAGACCTAGGGACTCTGGGTGTTCCTTGGAAAACTTCTCTTCTTGACCTGTCTAGGGAAGGAAATTTGGTCCTTTCACTTGTCCGGTGCTCTCCCTTGAATATGGACTGGTTGTAAATAGCGTGGTGAGGCTGGCAAGTGGAATGACTACATCACTCGCGGCTCAGATATTTCATCTGTGCCAATTAGGTGCATCTGCATGCACAGACAAGTTCAGCACTGACTTGTGCAGTGATGGGCCCAGGAGGGAACAGAGCTATTTTTAACTTCCATCTGTCTTTCTAATGACTGACACTGCCACCCAATTTCCATTTAACTATGTGGCTGCAGTGATAGTGTTATCCTCAAGCCTCTGCCAGCTTGGCTAGATCCAAAGGAGGACCATGCTGTCTTCTCCTCGGATACTGCAATGGAAAGCAGGAGGAAAAATAGACAAAACATATACGTGGGGTCGTAAAGTGATAGTTCTCACCCAGGTTTTATGGTTCCCTATTGAAAATGCATATGGCTGCAGCTGTGCTGCTCTGATGCTTTGGTAGATGAGTGTCACTGAGTTATTAAACATGGGTTAAAGCAATGCAATGCCCGGCGGTACTGCTGAAGATAATCTGGTTGGGCCCAGCCTTTGCATGGCACAAGCCATAAAACTGCCCAGCTTGGTTCCTGCATCCGCTTTACATCTGGCAGCTGAGCTTGTTAACAGTAATTAATTTGACACGTTTTTAAAGCGTGGTATGAACTTAGGGAAATCCTTGCCCTGGGTTGGAGTAGATGTAGCCCTGATAAAAGAAGGTGAGTAAAACTAGTCTTATCCATGGGAACATGGGAGGCTTCTCCTGTGCATCCTGTCTGCACTGTCAGTTTTATGTCCTTAGTTCCCTCTGTGCCCTGAACTGGGCAGGGAGGACAGGCTTTCAAGGACACACCACGTCTCTTCCCGTGACCCCTTGGCCTGATCCCTTTGTATCTCAACCCTTTTCACCTCTAAGATTTTGTGCGTTACAGCCCTCTGGGCTTGCGGACAATCCTGAAATGCGTTTGAATAGAGACGTGGGAGGCTGTAAGTCTCTCCTAGACAATTTGTATGACAAGCAAGGCAGTCTCTCGTGTGATTTTGCTTCTGGCTTGGTGTAAACTGGCTGTTTTGTGTCACCAGCATTGTGAACAGTCTTTGCCATAGCCGTCCTCTGTCTCGCTCCCTCCGCAGGTGATGTGGCTACCGGACATGGAGAGGCAGCTGGTCAGACAGATTGCGCCGGGTTTCCAGCAGACTTCTGGCCTCAAGCTGGATGCAGAGCGCATGAGAGAGAAGGGCATTGTGAAGCTGAACCTGCGTTACACCAAGGTCACGAACGAGGATGTCAGGTACAGCCTCCTGTTTGGACACTGCGTGATAGCCCGTGTGCTCCATGGCAGGTGTCCACAGCTCTGTGCATCCTTGCTAACCTCATGCCCTGTGTGCATCCCTGTCTCAGCAGCATCTTTTCTGATCATCCCAGGCTGTCTTATCTGCACAGAGTTATGTTTTCAGATGGACTTGCTCTTGAAAGCTTGAGCTGTGCAAGCTTGTCCCTACCCATCACCCAGAATCCGGGCTGTTTCCAGGAGCGCACAGCTGACTCTAACAACTCTACATGCTAATTCAGTATATGATGATCCTTTTAAAAATACGAATATATGAATCGGCTGATTCTTATTACACTCTCAGCTCTGGAAAAAGTGAAGGCTTTTCACACCGGGTACTGCCAAGTGCTGTTTCATCCTCATTAGCAGCTGCCCTTTGCTTCTGTTTGTCTGCTCCAGACTTGCTACCACAGAATTTTGATTAGTCCAAAGTCTGGATATGCTTTCAGAAATTTCTCTTTGCAGAGAATTCACCCGATTCATTGTTGTCCTTTGTCAGCTATTTAGACTGGTCAGGTCTCCTCTTTAATGAGATTGGCAGCATGGGGTTCCTCTCCTTCTGCTTGAGCCTGTATTTGAACCATGCAGCGTGTTAGCTCCCGGCTTTGCCCTCTTCTCGGAAAGGGCAGATTGTCTCTAGTAGAGCTTTTCTATTTTTTAGAGTTCATTTCCCTCCCAAAAAAAATAGAGGTCATTTCCCCCCCCCCCCCAAAGAAATACTTGAAACAGGTTTGCAAAAGAAAAGTATCTTCAAAGAAGCTGTCTTACTGTGTGTTTGGGCTGGAAGTAGAGAAGAGCTGAGCCCGCAGCTGTTTGAGAGCATGGTCCTATTTAGTGTAATCTAGTGGTGTCTTTCCGTGGCTGCCAGCAATTGGTCTAGTTGCTCACCCTTAAAACCAAGTCTGTGCTTTACCTGCAGGATAATTCCTGCCTGTTTTTCCCCTACCTATTTCCTCTATCTCATGGAGAGGACCATATGCCTACTCTCTCATCTGTCCCAGCTCATCAGCCCCAATCTCTCATCGATCCCACCTCAGCTGTCTCCAAAATCAGACCTGCCACCTGAGTGCTTCTTGAACCCTGAAGGCCTTGGGGTGCCCAGTCAAATGTTGCTGCACTCCTGCAGCATGAGCCAGAGCAGGCTCAGCAAGCCCTGGTATAACACAGTTTCCTCAGTCCCCCCAAAGATCAGCATCTGGATGCAACGTTGCTGCGACCACCTCTGCCCTTGAGAATCCCTTAGCCTTTGGAGCAGCTTGATCATGTTGTGAGCTTTGAGATGTCCACATCTCGTACAGTGGCCTTCCACCTCAAAGTGCTTTGCTGATATTGAATTGCAAGGATTAATCTCTGTGCTGCCCATGCAAAGGAGATTAGTGATGCTTCTGCTTTGTAGATAAGGAAACAGAGCAATTTATGCAAATCGTATGGGTACAGGGAGTCCACTATCAGTGCTTGATTTGCTGCTGACAGCTCCTGTACCCCAGCTTGCGGTTTTAGCTTCTTGGAAAATGACCTCAGGAGACTGGAAGCTGTAACTCTGCGACCGTGCCCAAAACAAGGGCATGGGAGTTGTAGGAACGATGCTGGAAATGCAGTCTGTCAGTTTTTCATTAAGTAAATTGCCTACGAAGCGTTACAGGCATCTGAGCCAGATGTTAATTTTACATCAACATGATGAGGCGGTTGTTAGAAAAACATGACGTGCCCATCATTCATGAGGAAGTATCTGAGATGGGCTGTGGCCTGGGTCAGATAGCATCCAAGAGGCGAAGAAAGCTTTCAAGTCCAAACCATTTGATTGCCATGCCCTTCGGTTGCTTATGAAGTGACCATGTCCTGTTAAAAAAAAACCTATTTCATGTAATTCAAACCCAATAAATCTAGCCGTGATTACAGCGGTGGCTGATGGCAAGAGCTCTCCTCTTGGAGATGAGGGTCTGACATTTTCTGGGGGACTCACATCTCACCCTGTCTGTCTCTCGGCAGGGACTACACCGTGGCGAACCTGAGTGTGAATCTCTACACTGTGAACGAGCCCTGGCTATACTCCATCCTGTGGTGCGCCGGCGTCCAGTCGGTCACCTCCGACAGCTCCCACGTCCTTCGCAAGGTGCCTTTTCCCATCTGGCTAATGGTAAGCACGATGCCTGGGAAGCTGCTGTGAACCCCTGGAAGGAGGCCTCAAGTTGCGCCAGGGGAGGTTTAGATTGGACATGAGGAAAAATGTCTTTACTGAAAGAGTGGTGAAACATTGGAACAGGCTGCCCAGGGAAGTGGTGGAGTCCCCATCCCTGGAGGTATTTAAAAGACGTGTAGATGAGGCGCTGAGGGACATGGTTTAGTGGGCATGGTGGTGTTGGGTTGACGGTTGGACTCGATGATTTTAGAGGTCTTTTCCAACCTTAATGATTCTGTGAGGGGATGCGGTGGAGGGGTGTAGAGGTGGCCGTTGAGCACTGCAGCCATATGTCTAGTGGGTGTCTCCAGGAAGGTTTGGTTGGGTTCAATGTGCTACTGGGCTTGAGGGTTTTCATCCTCTGTATGCCTGAGCCCTGAGATGGTAACGGATCAATGCTCCTCTTGCACAATCCCTTCTTTCAGACGGCCTTGTCTCTCCCCATACGGGGTTTGGGAGCCTTGGAGATTGTGTTGCATGCCCCATTTAACCCACGTGATTTTTCCATTTTCCTCCGATGGAAAAACACCTTTCCAGACCTGCTGAGCAGCTGTTAGAGTTGCAGGAGAATCAGGCACACAGATGAACCAGCAAACCTGGCTTCTGTGTTTCAGGCAGGCTTCAAAACTAGCTTTTTGCCTATTTTTAATACCAAATGAGGACAAGTGTTACCTCTGGCTACCCCATTGCTGGACAAGGAACAACCAGAGACCAAAGGTAGCCCCCTTATCCATCATGTTAGCCAGTAAACTCTCTGAAAACTCTGCTAGCACTTTGAGTCTCTGAACCAAACAGAAATATTCATGTTGGAGTGGAGGCAAAATGATGAAATAGTTGAGTCAAAGTATTCCCAAAACAAGAGCTCGGCTGCGGAGGTGTGAGTGCATGTGATGGAGGGGCTGTTTTCTGATGACAGATCCTGTCAGGGGTAGGACAGGAGGCAGCTGTTTTACCTGCTGCTCTGGCAGATCTGCTTGGGGAAAGGGGAGAATAAGATGAGCACAAGGAGACGTTAACGTTAATGAGTTATCTGCGTCCTTACCTGGAGGTAGAACCTCAAGACTACCGCCCAGATGGATGAACACGTATGCACGGTGTCCTTAGCTTAACCTACTGCTTGTGTCTGACCACACAAATCCACGCTGGTGCGTGCTAAAGCTGGAGAATTGAAAATGGTTTTATAAAGGCTGAATCTGTCGGCAGAAGAAATTATCGTCGTCTGAATCGTGCTGCTGCAAACATCTGTCCTCCACTACAGCTGGCAGGAGTTGTGTGCACATCACTGGCAGCTTTTTACTCCAAAAGCCCCTCTGCCAGCGATGACAAGCAGGTGATACTTGGAGCCCTCCTCCAAGGGCTCTCCCATCTGCTGGATTTCCAGCTCTGCTGGGAGTGCACAGTCTTATATCACCGGCAGCATAAAAATCCCTTGATTTCCTGCATATTGAACTGCCTGGGTGATGTAATCGAACCAGCTTCGCCATCTGAGCCCCCTCCACTACGTGGGACAGGGCTCAGGAGCTGGAGTGAAACTCTTGTTTCTGCCAGGCTGTGGCTGCCCAGTGCCCTCGGGGGCTTCACTGGGCTTTATCGCCAGCTGAACAGCGCAAATCTGTTCTGCTCCATTCACCCAGGGGCCATTTGCAATTGCAAAAATACATTTAACTTGTGTTTACGTTAAATAAAAGGAAAAACAAAGAAGAAAAAGCGACAGTCTCTCTCCCCTCTACTCTTGATGGAAAGCTGCTGGTAAGAACAGAGGCCATCAGACACGGCATAGAGAAGGGCTTTGAACAGCTTGAGCTGGGATTCAGCCCCTAACCTGATGTCCTTAAAGCGGGTGCCCAGTGTGAGACCCCTCTCCGCAATTTTGGGAGTCTCCTTCAGAGCCAGGGTTTGAGTTGCTCTCTGCCCAGTTACACTGAATTGATGAAGGGTTTGACGCGCTGCAAAGGTGAGGATTTCGGGAGTAGGACTTATTTTGGGTAAAGTTTATAAAAAACAAAACAAAAAAACCAAACCAAAACAATCCCACTGAAACAGCCCTGTCTAAAAAAGGGGAACTGGAGGTGAAATATAGCAAATTCCTGAGCAGGTCTTGGTGCGGATGGAGCAGGACAAGTTGTCTTCGCTGTAGATGTTTGCTGACCCGTGCTCCCTCCTCTGCAGGGCTGAGGAAGCATCTGCTCGCTGGGCACTCCTAATAACGATGTGTGTGGGGTGCATGTCTTTGAAAAATTGCAGTTTTCCCCTTTTGATCACCTTGAAATTCCATTTTTGTCGCTTATAAAACCTTGATTTGGTACCAAAATCTTCTAGCTTTGAGCTTTCTGCAGGACTTTAAAAAAATACACGTAATATCTGTAATCAGGTGCTGAAGTTTTCCCAGAAAGCTGTGTTTGTCTACCTGTTGCTTGGGATATATCATAGGAAATACAACTTTTGCCCCACAAAAACCAAACAAACAATCCCACTGAAACAGCCCTGTCTAAAAAAGGGGAACTGGAGGTGAAATATAGCAAATTCCTGAGCAGGTCTTGGTGCGGATGGAGCAGGACAAGTTGTCTTCGCTGTAGATGTTTGCTGACCCGTGCTCCCTCCTCTGCAGGGCTGAGGAAGCATCTGCTCGCTGGGCACTCCTAATAACGATGTGTGTGGGGTGCATGTCTTTGAAAAATTGCAGTTTTCCCCTTTTGATCACCTTGAAATTCCATTTTTGTCGCTTATAAAACCTTGATTTGGTACCAAAATCTTCTAGCTTTGAGCTTTCTGCAGGACTTTAAAAAAAATACACGTAATATCTGTAATCAGGTGCTGAAGTTTTCCCAGAAAGCTGTGTTTGTCTACCTGTTGCTTGGGATATATCATAGGAAATACAACTTTTGCCCCACAGGAAAACCTGCTATTTGGGTTCTTCAGTTGTGAAATACCAACAGGTGCATAAATGAAAAATTTAGATGTGTAGATTTTGTTCCAACTTAGAAGACTCTTGAGTTTTCATTCAAAATAGTTATGATGGCACTCTCCTGCCAAGAAAATGGGAAACATCAATTTTGTGTCTGTTGGTCTTAATAGATGCAGCAAATGTAACATTAAATGTCACCCTTCTGTAATTAAGCTGGGAAATACAAGGATTAAATCTCCATCAGAAGCATTGGCTAATTAAAGCATTGCCCTGCTAATTCTATGGCACACTTTCACAGGATAAATTGAGACACACAAAGGTTTACTGAGCAGAAAAACAAGTTGTTCTCTGCTGGGAGACAGAGGTAGCAGAGTCGATGGCTCCCAACTGGGTTGACACCATGTCACGCTACCATTGCATGAACTCATCTTTATGCATTATGTATTCTATTTCTGTAATGAAGTATTACTTGTGTGCATTAGTAATGGTGTTGGTGGTTGTGATGGATCTGTCTGGTATGAAATCAGCAACTTTCTCCTGGTTGGGACTAGTCCAGGTTTGGGATAGGAGAAATTCGTTAGCATCACTGGTGGCTGTCCTGGGTAGGAGCCTTCTGAGCATCATCAGGAGTTGATTATTATTATTATCACTTTACTTTGTTGCCTTCCCTGGGCAGCACAAAGATCAATGTGGAGTAGTGTGCTTCTGTGCTGAGTTCAGGTGATGGGTTTAGCTGCTGTGATGACCACAGCCACTTAGACTGGCAAATGAAGCCAGAGCTACCAGTACCTTAAAGGACAGAAATTGAGAAGTATATGCTTATAGCATGGAGACTGTGCGGAACAACTAACGTTAGCACTCAAAATGGACCCTGTGTGTCTCATGTGCAATGTGTGTATATTTCTGTGTTTTCCCACAGACTTGGATTTCCAAACAGCATCCTACCCTCGCCTCGAGGTACAGCTGAGATAGGAAACTTTCAGCCCATGAAGCTCCTGAGAAAATTTCAGCACGCAAAAGGAGGGAGAGTTTAAAATTGTTCCTGTTTGCAGTTTTTCCTGATAACGTCATTTTGGATGACAGGCTAGCATTAGAAATGTCATAAACGTCGTGATTTATATGCGACCCCTGCAGCTCTGTGCTTTTCTTTCTGCCCTGGTGGTAACTTCAGCAATGTGTGGTCTCTCTGTGATTGTACAAACCAGAAGGTTTAAGGTCTGCTTCTGTTTTCTGTCTTCCAGCCTCCAGACGAGTACCACCTAATCTGGATCACGTCTGATCTCATTTCATTTATCGTAATTGTAGGAGTTTTTATATTCCAGAAGTAAGTAGAGCGTTGTTACAGCTCGACTCTCATGTATTTGTGACGTGTGTTTTTGTTCAGAGTGTGGGGTGGAGACGGGAGAGAGGAGCACTGCGCTCCTCAGGCGCTTGGATTGCAATAGCAGGGAAACCGGTTATTAAAAATCCCTACAAAGACTGCAAACAATAATTCCACTTCTGAGATGTGACACTGAATTGGATGTAGTCACTACTTTTTAAGAAGAATGAAAGATCTCAAAACAGTAGCGATAGACGCCTTGCTCTGCTCATAAATGAGTGTGGGAGAGAAACTGTAAATGCTTCAGGGAAATGGACGTTGAGAAAGAGATTAAAATGCTTTAAAGGAAGAAGAGGAGATGTTTTGAGATTCCACCATTATAGTCTTCAAAAAGAACATGTTATAGTTTTCTTAAATCAGTTTGTTCCCGTTTAGATGAAGAAATAGAAATATTATGATTTAGCAAATCAAATCAGTTGCTTAGTTTGATGCATAGAGAAAGTCTCTCCATTTTCCAAAGAAAAGGGGGAGCAAGGATTTGATGAGGGCACGGCAGAAGCCTCTCCGTTAGCCAGGGTGCCTGAAAACAAATGTGGAGCGTAAAACCTAGGAGCAGAGTAAGTTAAGACACTGATAAATCAGGAGAAGGTAAATCAACTTCCTAATGGCAGAGCTGGCCAAGCGACTCGCCTCTTGGCTGTACTGAGGAAACCACGGTGTCCTCCCGGTGATGTGCCTTTTCTCCTAGGAGACGTTTGAGCTGTCAGTGGTGACAGTGTAATAACCCTCTCTGGGAAAAAGCGTGAGCTCAGAGAGAGATGCGCTCCCTCCAGTGAGAAGCAGCAGCCTTCTCGTGGGAAAATGTGTCATTCTGAAATTGCATCCCCTCTTCCCCGGCTCTATAATCTCATCTGCTTTGGCATGCACAAACGGCTGTCCTAGAAACGTCAAGGGACCTACACTTTCCTTCCTTCTTGATATCCGAAATGCCTTCGCGTTAGGAGCAGCAATTTAATTTGCTTCAGCCTCACGAGCTGGTGATTTTGCTGTCGCACTGTCCAGATCATCTGCTTGCAGCAATCTCTTTCCTTCCCCGGCGTGCCACGACACCTGGGTGCGTAATTACCCGGGTATTTTTGCCATGTTACAGTAGGCTGTTGCTCCTGCCAGCACCCGCTATGGATTTGACTTCAGGCCAGATGTTGGGTCTGTTTATAATTGTGTCTAAATTCATGACTTGCACAGTCCCACGCTGGTAGACCTGTGCTCAGGGGGTCCCCAGTTCCAGCATGGGATAATGGAGTTAGCAGCAGATTGAAAACCTTCCTCTCGGATTAGATTTCCCAAGAGTTAATGAAACCACTGACCAAGATGAGATTAAAATTTTTCTAAGAGTCTTGTGATCTGAACTGTGGCCGATTAAACCTTTCCTCCAGAAGGGCCTCGTGGCTCTGTTGTCTGGAAGCTTCCTCCACTCCCTTAAATTCATCAGTCGGTTTAAAAAGAGATGTCCCTGCTCTTTAGACCCGGTATTTCTCTGTCAGAAACAGAAATGCACAGAAGAGTCTGGAGGCAGGGACTGACCGCTCTGAAGAGCAGAATTTGAAGGCCAAGTTGATGAGGTATTTGCAGTCTTTTGCGTCATCTCCCAAAGTCAGTTTTAGAAGGCCTTTCTCAATCACACCCGGGAGACCACAGCTGAAGAAATTAAACTGATTCAACCCGCTGAATGAGAACTATAGGTCCCAGAGCAGAGCGAAATGAGGCACGCTTGGAGAGAGGGAGAAGTCGCAGCTACGTGGACTTTGCAATAGCTGGACTCTTCCTCTCTGCACTGATTGAATTTCTTCCAGTTTGGAAGAGGTTTGACGGAGTAGGGGCAAGAGGAAGCAGGGTAAGGAGGGAAAGCATTATTGCAGGATTTCTCTTCCACCCTCAGTGTAAGTGTGATACAGGTGAGAAGAGCTGGAAGCTGCCACCAGCTTTCGCCAGGGTCCATCAGCCTGGAGCACTGAGCTCGCTGCCCGGCCTCTGGACCTGACGTAGAAAGGCAGTTGCTCAGAGAGGTCCGGCCACGTGGGGTCCGTCGTAGCAAGGCCAAATGTCTTCTTTTGGATCTCTCCCTTGGGACAACAACCCCAAGTCAGTAGAAGGAAGAAGGAGAAACTCTAGCACCAGAAGTTGGACTTTCTGCAGCAAAGGGCTTGCTCTTCCAAGAGCCTTGTGCAGGAGAGACCCATTTCCCTGCTGTTCCAGTTTCTCCACCACATGAAAGAATTGGTAGCAGCGTTGAGGATATATCAAAAACAAATCACAGCAGAACTGCCCAACTACTACCTGCTGATGTGATTCAGCTCCGGGAAATGGGGCTTGGCATTTGGCCTTCAGTGTCGTGGTTGGTTTTTTTGTTTTGTTTTTGTTTTTGTTTTCCCCGAGTCCTTTTTGGGGCAAAACCGAGCTGCTTCCTTCATGCAAGGATGAGGGGGTGGGTGGGAACAGAGCCACCGCTTCGATGTGCTCGTCCTCTCTCCTACGCATGGCTTGTCTCTCCTCCGTAGCCACGGGTAGGGATTGCTCCTGCTGTTCTGCTTCAGCCCTGGTGACAGGATCGTGGCAGCCACTCCAGAAGGGAAATATCAACTGTGATGACTTTCTAACTGATCTTTTTTTGCCTCTTTGCCTTGTTTATTTTCTTACTGCTCTGACTGTTGTGCATGTTCCTCCTCTTTCTCTCTCTGCTGCATTCTGGCATCTCACAGCTATCACATGATCAGGTAATTCTGGTGCTTTCCTCCTCTTTCTCTTTTTCATTCAACCTTCCTTTCTCTCTTTCTTTCTCCCTCTCTGCTATGGCTTCACTGCAGACGGACAGGGCAGGACACAGTTTTTCACAGTGCTTTCAAACATCTGGCTTCAGAGGGGGACCATAAGGGTCTGAACATTGCACAGGCCATAGCCGTGAGCACCACGGGAGCCTGATGCTGAAGCCGGCGGATGTTTCGAAGGCAACCTGACCTTCTGTTACAATGATCCAAGTTGCTGCCCTTTAAAACAGCCCTATTCTGAGGTCCTGCAGTGTGTTGTAATTGGGAAATTCCCAGTGGGATGTAATGCTTTCTCCATGGAAACAATCTCATGCAAAATATCCCCTTCCTTCCTGCATTTACCAGAGGTTTTTGAGACCAACCTCTTCTAAATTGGCCAATTCTAAAGAAAATAATGTAACCTGTTCAATTATATAAAGTAGCACTTCTCTAGCCCTGGGAATGAATTAATAAGGCTAATAGCTGGAAAGGTTTGGCTCATCAATTGCTGCACTCGGGGCTTGGGATCTTTCAGGAGTGTCTTCCCAGTTACACCACTGTGAAACTGGAAATGCAGTGTGAAAATAAATAGCATTGCACCCAGGGAGGGAATGAGCCTGGGATGCTGGATTAGAAGTGCCATCAATTGGAAACCCAGATTTCTCCTTGTATTGGCTGTTTTCTCACCAGTCGTTCTCACCCCCTTGGAGGGAAGCGCTGTCGCTTTTCTGCAGTAAAGCCTTCACCGCGTCTGTACTTGGACCAAACTCTTCATGTGTTACCTTCTCCATTCCTCCTGCTGTGTGCCATGGGGTTGTATTTCAGAGGACTTGGCTACTCCCTATCTGTGCTTATCTGCCCCTCTCCCTCTGCCCACCCACTGCCTCGGGGGTCGGGGTTGGCCACCTGCAAGTATTGCCTGCTCCACGAGGTACCTTGGACTTTGTGGTGTTACGTCCTCACGGCATCTCCCCAAAACAGGACCTGGCTACGGGGCTGGGCTGAGCCCTTCTGTGGGTGCAGGGAGGTTGGGTGTTTTCCCCTTCTCACCTCCCCCTTGCTCCCTGGCTCGTGGATAAGGAGAAAACAGGCATGGAGGAGTTGGGCAGGCTTTAGGCAAGAGCGGTCGCAGGATGGGGACTTTGTGATTGCAGCTGGCTTGGCTCTTTGCTCGCTCCATCTTATCCCCTCAGTACCAATCAACCCCGTTTTATCCCCGACCTGCTCCTCTCCCATCCCCTTTCCTTGCCATTTAGCATCTCCCCTCCAAACCAAGGGTCCGGTGGCCCTAACACGGTGTGTGCTGTCTCTGTGTTGTTGTCCCAGTATTTTTTAGTCTGTTCCCACCCTGTGTCCGTCTGGTCCGCTTTGATGCCAACCTCCCAGAACAAGACCTACCTGCTGTCTGTCTGGCCTTTTTGCACGCTGCTGTCCTAAACGTGGCCGATCACGACAGAATCCAAGGGGGTAGGAGAGGTGCTATTTTCTATTAAACGAGCTTTCTGGAGACCCAAAGGCTACCGAGCACAGCAGAGAGTATTTTGTATGGTGTTGGAGTTGCATTGTGGTTAAATGTACCGGTGGCCCTTCTAAAAAGGGTATTTCAAAGTATCCCTGAAAAATGGGGTCGCCCTCCCTTAGCTTGTTCAGTCAGAGCAATGCACCCCTGTGAGCGGAGTCATCGGCCCCTCGTGCGTATTTAACCACCCTGGGTCTGACCGCAGCCACCATGCGAGATGGGGAGCAGAGAGTGGTGGTCATTCCTCTTGGCAGGAGGAGAAGAGCCCTTGGTCCCTGCGCCCCTTTGAGGCTGGGCTGTCTGTGCCTCAAAATAGCCCATGCCGTCCATGGGATGTCTAGGACTTACGGGCAAGAGATCATCATGCCTTTTGGCCATGCAACCCAGCCTAATGCTGAAAAGCCTGATGTTGTGTGCAAAGAAAAGACTCGTTGTTGTAGCAATAGGTTTTGGTCCTGATTATAAGTTTAAGGAGGGTCTTATCCTCTGCACTTGCAACCACATTGACCTTGGTGGGATCTGCCTGCATGGGACACTAAGAGCAAAAATGGTCGTCTTCCAGGTCAGAGTGGCTCAGCTTAGATGATGATGATGATAGAAGAAAAATATTTTTTTTATTTTTAATTTTTTTCTTTTTTATACTTTAATGTCTTTGCCTCCTTGTGCTTCCTCCGTGTTGCTTCTGTCCATGGGTCTGTGAGTTGTGTCGTGTTGCCATCCCACCCCTTCTTTTCTCTGTGGCAGAGCATCCACCTTCATCTGTACCCCTGTCAAAGCCTGATGGTGCAGTGTCACCCACTGGGATTTGGGAGGGGGATGGAAACCCCATGAAATCGACACCAGCTAGATTTTCCTGGAAAAATTGCAGAACCTCTTTTGCGGATGTTGCTTTGTCAGGCTGATGCTGTGGACCCGGGCTGGAGATGTGTGGGGCTCCTCAAATCCTCTGCTCCTGGGGCTGGGTAGAGGGTTAGAAATTTAAGAGAAGGTGGTTGTCACCTTTTAAAATAAATAAATAAATCGCCTTCTCTTGTGTGGGTGAGCCACTAGGTGGTGCCAGAAGATCAGAAACCCCATAAAGCCACCCTAAATCCCTGCTGTTTCTCTATCGAATAGCCTTATGGCATCCCTGGCTCCGGCAGGGAGAATGGGATTTACTTGAAAGCCTTCCTCTGTGGTCAGGAGGTAGGATGAATCCGTGGGGCGTGGGCAATGAAAGCCTGGCCTAAACAGCATCCCTTTGCAATGGGATCTTGGGTATGGCTGCTTTGTCTGAGCCCCCCAAGCCCTGTTTTCCCATATTGCGGCAGCAGCCCACCTTTCACTCCTAATGCCAGCAGCTCTGCAGCTGAGGGTCTGCTACAGGGGTGCTCTCAGGCTGAAAAACAGCTTTAAAAGCAAAATGCCCCTTGAGCTTCCTGCCGTTGCTTATTACTAACATCAGTAATTTTCTTTACGTGCATTCGGTAATGAGAATAAAAGTCTTGCTAATTTTAAGTCGAGCCAAGTTCCCCTCAGCCTCATATTGTTCACGTGGTGGAAGCTTCTGGTGAACACTGAGTTTCATCAAGGCTTAAAAAGTGGAGGGTTTGTGTAGAAACGTTTAAGTAAAGACCTGGCATTTGGGGAGGGAAGTGCGCTTTTTTAATTACTAACATCAGTAATTTTCTTTACATGCATTCGGTAATGAGAATAAAAGTCTGGCTAATTTTAAGTCGAGCCAAGTTCCCCTCAGCCTCATATTGTTCACGTGGTGGAAGCTTCTGGTGAACACTGAGTTTCATCAAGGCTTAAAAAGTGGAGGGTTTGTGTAGAAACGTTTAAGTAAAGACCTGGCATTTGGGGAGGGAAGTGCGCTGGGAGAAATTACATTTAAGGGCACTGTATGTGACAGCTTGGCACTGCTTGTACTTTCCTGCAGAGCAGCTCATGTCGGTGTCTTTGCTGTGTCTCAGGTTTGAGACCTCAAATTGTCTTTGAGCTCTCATCTCCCACAAGCATGAGCATGTCACTCAGCGAGGAAAAGGTTATGGTTGCTTTACTTGGCTTGGTCTCTCGTTCTGTTCCCTCTTTCCAACCCTAAGAGTCAAAATAGCCCTACCTGCTTTGGGCAGCTGGATAGCTGATGCGATAGAGAGGGGTTTGGGGCATCTGCAGTCCTTGGTGAAATTAGTGGAATTAGGATGCTCAAGGTGGTTAAAGATGACCTGCTTGTATGTCTGTACCCCTCTGAGATAACATGCTCATCTCTGAACATCCTCCTACCATGCGGGCTTGCGTAGGTGCAAGGGAGCAAAGGCGTGAGGGTCTCTGGGGACTTGTTGGTCTCTACATTGTTGGTGGCCACTTGCATTGAGGATGCTCTCGTGGCTGGGGAGACCAGCCCCTGATATACCCCTCTTGTCTTGCAGGTGGCGCCTAGGAAGCATCAGGACCTACAACCCGGAGCAGATCATGCTCAGCGCTGCTGTCCGCCGGTCCAGCCGGGACGTCAAGATCATGAAGGAGAAACTGATCTTCTCAGGTATGGATGGGGCCGGTCGGTCAGAGCCCTTTGCTCCATCCCTCAGCTGTCACCCTGCTCTCTGCTGATGGAGGAGGTGGTCTTGATACGGGTGTCGTCATCTGCTGGTGGGACGGGGTGACTGGACTGAACCTGCTGCACCGAACCACTTGTGGGATGCGGTCATGGCTCATCCATCCCAAAGTGGTGCAGGTCTGAGCACTGATTTGCTCAGAAATCTTGCATTTAACTTCCCAAGTTATGCCATGCAGCTCTCTTACACTGTCCCACATCTCCACTCTCAGTTGTCAACAGTGTGTCCAAAGCTATAAAACCCATTAAAATAATGGCATAGGTCACCACCAATAATGGTGATGAGTTTGGGGTAGACCTGGAATTCAGTGGCACTATAGGTTGATGGATTCCTGATATCCTTGTGCTCCTCCCAGCATCTATTTGTGTTGGAACATGCTGGCAACGTGTCCATCTCAGCCCACCTCTAAGAAAGATCTCAGAAATGCGTACAGAGAGGGAAACATTTAGCTTTAAAAGATTAAAGCTGGCGCACGAAGCTGGAAAACTCACAGTTGAAGGAATGTGAATATAATCTCCCCTTGAGCTTTGTTACGGGTTTTCTTTCTTTGTATTTAGGGGCTAGAGACCTCCAGCGGGGATCAGGGTTTATTGTACTGGGCACACACACAGCAAAAAAAGACAACTCTTGCTTCAAAGAGCTTATTGTGTGAAATGCGGGCCTGATTCTGCCCTCCAGAGATGGTGAAAATCAGGTGTAAGTCCAGGGAACCCAGGGAGGGAAAGAAGCATTTGGTCACAGCAGAATTAAGCTTCCCCAACATGTCCTAGACATAAAATGCCCTAGACATAAAATATCCTTAGAGGTAGGGGATATATATTAAAGTTTCGTGCCTCTGAAACAAATGTTCTTGCTTAGGGTGGGTGTTTACAATTAAAACATTGGTGGCTGCGCGCTTTTCCCAGTGAAACCAGTGACTGTAGGAGTCTCCCCTTTTCCAGAATGGCCATTTGGATAGAGATTAAGTTCAGGTATTTTGCACCCTTTGCCCACGGGTGACTAATTCAGCCTGTGGCATAGCACCATGTGTATGGGAGTGTCCAACTTTGCCTCTGGTGGCGGCAGGATTGTCAGGGTCTGAAGTTTAGAGGTGAGCTCCTATTTGGAGGCAGATCCTGTTCAGAACTGGTTTTAAATGGGTGCAGTGTTGCTAAACCCTGGGTGAAATCTCTGTAGGATCAGATGGATCCCATGTGGTGGAATTGCACGGCTTCTCAGTGTCTCAGTTTCCCCATCCGTGGGGGGCTTCTGGGACTTGCACCCCTGTGACAATGTCCCCCTCCTTCTCTACCCTCCCCAGAGATCAACAACGGTGTGGAGACCACGGACGAGCTGTCTCTCTGCTCCGAGAACGGCTATGCCAACGAGATGGTCACCCCCACGGATCATCGGGACACCAAGCTGCGGATGAACTGAGGGGCTCCGTTCCAACCCACCCCGCGTTCACTCTGGCAGCGAGAGCCGTGCTCTCCTGTTTGCTGCAGGATGGGAACCTTTGAGGAACTGCTGGTCAGGCAGAGACCCCTTCCCATACCCCATCGCTAGCTGCTCCACCTCCCTGGTTGTGAGGTTGGGGGGCTTATTTTTGTAAATATGTAGAAAATCTGAATTTTTTTTGGTCTCTTTTTTTGAGTGTAATTTTTCCAGGGCATGAGTGGAAATACCGTGTTCATTAAATCTTCGACCTTACGGCTGAAGTTATTTGAATCTTGATGTGACAGCCTGAGTCCCTGTGGGGGTTTCTGGGAAAAACACGTTGGACGTGTCTCCCCTTTCTCCCCCTTGCCCTGCTCCACTCCTTCCCTTGGTGCAGCGACTGTGTAGCTGAACGTTGTGATGTTCTCGTGAAGTGTCGGTTTTGTTATGGGGTTTTTTTTTTGGTCCCCCCCCCACCCTTTCCCCCTTTCCTGGGCAATGAAGTTTTAGCTCTAATGCAACAGGAGGCTGTTTGGAGGAGAGAAGCTTTCCTAGGAGAGGAGAGAGCACTGCTCTTCCCTGCTGAAGTTCAGAGCCAGGGAAGGGGTTGCACTGGCTCAGTCACTTGGGCACCTTCTCCCTGTCCCGTCCTCCTTCCCCAAAGCCTGGATGTTCACAGGAGAGTGGCCTTCTTGAAATGTCCTGCTGCAGTCTTGAAGGCAAATCCTGAGCGTTGGCTGTAAATTGGCCTCTGCTGGCAGCAATGCTTTAATTTTTGATTTTTTTTTCCCCTTTTTTCTTTCTTTCCATCTTCTCCCTGAGTTGGGCTCTGTCGGGAGCCCGGGTGGCTTGCAAAAAGCAATGCCGTGGGCACCATCACCGCTCAGATCTGGCTAAAGTGCCTGCCACTCCAAGTGGCATTTGCAGTCGCTCCTTGCTTCCCTGTCCTTGCACCCACGTAGGAAGAGGAGGTGGTGGTGCTGTGAGAGCTTCCCCCTCTCTGGGCCAAGGAGGTGCCCATGAGTGAAGGAGTTGTAAATAGTTTGGAAGGTGAAGCAGCCCCGGAGTGTAATTTATTCCTGCAAGGAGACCTTTCCTCCTTGCTTTAAAAGCAGGATCTTTAAAGCTGCATGTTCGTGTCCTCCAAAGGAGTGACGGTCTTGCAGCGGATGCTGACAGGCTCATGAAGGCAAGAGCTCTCATCAGTGTGTTTCCAATGCAAAAGGCTTTAAACCAAAATCCTAGAGGTTAAAAGAAAAAAAAAAAACAAACAGAAAAAAGCTCGGAAATCAAGTAGATGGCAGTTGAATTTTATCCCCTCCCTGAAACGGCTCACAGCCAGCCCAAGGGCGGTCTCAGCTCTCTGCTCTTGACCTTCAAGGCCTCGTGGAGAGGAGCCTGTTTTTGGGTCACTTTGCTGTTCACACGGAGCCGGTTCCCAAGGCAGCTGAAGCCAGCCGGAAGGCTGCCGGAGCTGTGAATGGGTCTTGGCTCAGTCCCCGTGGCCTTCTGGTGTTGGGTTGCTCCCTTCCTTGCTGGATCTTGGTTGACACAACGTGCAACGTGAGAACTCCCATTGAGCGCGAGCTTCCTTTTGAAGCTTGGTGCGCGCTGCCTTGAAAGCGATGGGGCCATCAAAGTTGTTTACTGTGGAGGGAACGGGAGCTGAGGCTGAGTCTTCGGGTGCTGGCCAAGCTGGGTTGTAGAGCCCATGAGTGGCTGGGGAGAAGTCACCTTGTAGAGGAGAAGGTGGTCTTGGGGATGCTGATGTGCATCACATTCGACACCCAAAAACAGCCTTGAGCAGCTTGTTCTTGTTTCGGCAGCACTGAACTGCTCTGTCTTTTTCGAACTGTACTCCAGTAGCATTTTGAAACCCCAAAGTCTTGGGCTTAGTGTGTAAGAATTGGGGGCAAAAGTGGCCAACTTATCTATGTGAAAGAAAAATACCCCTATTGATAATGAAAATATGAATTGTGATGCTTTAATAAGCACCTCCTAAGCAGTGCAAATCAAGCCTTCAATTCCTTTGCATCTACCCTGGGTTTTTATGAATGTAGGTGGAATAAGACCCTGGTCCACGCTCCCTCTTACCTTCCCCAAATTCTGTCCTCCTATATGGTACTCTCTCAAGTCTGTGAAACACGGTGTGTTTTTTTTCTGCAGAACTGCAAGATTTTGATGGATTTGAAGGCTTTTGAGAACAAAGTTGCTTCTCCTTTTAATGTGGTGCTGTATTGAAACATTCCCGGTGGATTGTCATTGCCAAGTGAGAGATGATGTTAAATCTCAGCATCTGTTGATAATCACCTGCATGTTCTGTTTTTATCCTTGGAGATGACTTTATTGAAAGGTCAAGTGCTTAAAAGCTTGGAAGTGTTAAAAGCAATCCAACAAAGAGTTGTTTTCACAATTCACTTTTTTGGTTTTTTTTTTTAATGACGAGACCCAAACTTTATGCGTAATGCACTGACTGTTACCATTATCGTCCTGAACATTTGCTACCTTTTTTTTTTTTTAAAAAAGGATGATACTTTTTTGATGAAAATAGAGCTAGACCAAAATAAACTCTGCAATGCTCTGTGAAATAAACTGTCAGTATTCCCCTGCTGTGATGGTTGTTTTGTGTTCTGGGATTGCTTGCCATGGGTGATGCCTTGATCTTCTCCCTGCATTTCTGCTTTTTCGTGCTTCATGAGGGAGCTAAAGGTCTGACCAGAGGGAGGTTTGGAGATCCGTCCTTCTTGAGATGGGTACAGTTGTGTTGCATCTCCTCTTGACGACACCAAGCTGAGTGGTGCGGTCGACACGCCGGAGGGACGGGATGCCATCCAGAGGGACCTGGACAAGCTGGAGAAGTGGGCCCGTGTGAACCTCATGAGGTTGAACAAGGCCAAGTGCAAGGTCCTGCAACCTGGGTCGGGCAACCCC